AAAAAAAAAAAAAAAAAAATAGCAAAATTTAGGCAAATGAGATAAAAGTTTATTCTTTTAGGATTTTAATTTTTACCAGTTGTGCAATGAGGAAAGCTGTCACAAGTAGAAGTCCTGGGCGCTCGAGAAAAGACCAGCTTCGTGACCTGGTCACGAATATGAGGGCCTGGCTAACGATACTCACTTGCAAGTATAAAGCGGCCATCATCTCATCCTCGCTGTTTCTAATGTTTTTAACACCAAATGTGTCCTGCATTTTTTAGCCATTAAATGAATAACTAAGATAGAAGATTTGCAAATCTTTTCAGAAGAAAAACACCAACAATAATATCCTTACATGGAAAAAGTCGGTTTTATGCATGAGCCAGAAGAATATGACGGTCATCAAGGCAAGATAGCCTCCAAGAACGATGCCGGTGGCGAATATCTCTTTCAATTTCCAGCTGTCGGGCAATGGTGATGGTTTAACTCTATCCTTCGAGATGGTCATAATTGTACCTAAAGTAGACCAAAGTTAATAATCGACCAGTTAGTCGCCACATTTTTTGGAAGAAAATGAAGTTTCATAAGAGAAAAATACCGTCGTTCAAAATGGCAATGATCAAAACCATGAATGGCGAGAAATCGAACTTCCATATCAAAGCAATGAACATGAAACCAAACTGCAAAGAAACAAAGGTAATATAATTATAAACATAAGGTCATCAAGGAAAAAGTATATTGTTTTACAGTTTTCACCGATTTTCAACAGTCACAATCAACTTACGACGATACGGATTGTGATGGAAACCGCATAAATCTGCCAAAACACAAAAATGAGAGAAAATCTTAATACTCCCATCATCACCTCAAAAAAAAAAAAAAAAAAAAAACCTTGATTGTTCGTGCGAAAAAAAAAATTAAAAAAAATAAAAAAAATGACTAACCGTGTAATTTTTCATCCTCTGGAAAATGGCTCGGCTGGTCAAAACAGCACTAATAATTACACTAAGACCCGGCTCAGTCAACACAATATCTGAAGCTCCTCTTGCGGCATCTGTAGCATCAGCCACAGCAATTCCAATATCGGCCTTTTTTAAAGCGGGGGCATCATTCACACCGTCTCCAGTCATTCCAACAATGTGCTTCCTTTCCTGAAGCTTCTTCACGATCTCGTACTTATGTTCTACGCGGCAAACAAGGATAGAAACAAAAGAAAAAAAAATAAAAAATAAAAAAAAAAATAAAAAAATTGAATTTTTAGCTCCTTCCGAGTTGGACAAATGATTTTTTTTGTGTGAAGGACTGACTGACTGACCTGGAAAGACCCCGGCAAAACCATCGGCCTTCTCGATTAATTCCTCAACAGGAAGGCTGGCTATTGACTCGTCCTTGTGCTGACCGAGAAGAGAAGAGGATGGGTACATGTTTACTCCCATACCCAACCTACGCCCGGTCTCCTTACCAATGGCGAGTTGATCACCTAGATTTTATTTTTTTTTTTTTCGCCAAAACGTAAGAGGAAAAAAATAAAATGAGTACATAGAAGTGAAAATTTTGGAATTATAGATTTATTTTCATGAGTGTTGTCAGCTTACTTACCAGTAATCATTTTCACATTTACACCAAGATTCAGAGCCCTACGGATAGTTTCGGCACTGTCATGCCTGGGAGGATCGAAAAGCGACAAGAGCCCGACAAATTTCCACGGGGCACCTGGGGCATCCTTCGATTTCTCCGGCACTTCCTGAAAATATTAAAAATAAATAAATAAATCTCTAAGTCAGTGAAATTAACATACGAACCCACAAAAAGAAACTAATAATAATGGAGACTATACCAACATCTAACCTGATAAGCAACGCCCAGCGACCTGAGCCCACGTTCGGCGAACTTATCGATAACACTGTGCACCTTCTTCTTCAAATCGTCCTTGCAGTTGCAGAGCGTCAAAATCTGTTTCAGGAAAAAGAACACAATTAAATTTATTCACGTTTCACATCATATTAAAAACAAAAAAAAAAGGAAAAAAGAAACTAAAGAAGGCAATAAATGTATTCTTGTACACACAAACCTGCTCGGGAGCTCCCTTGCTAGCTCTATGCCAGTTCCCATTCGAGTCGATGTAAGTCAAAGCCGTCCTCTTATCCACAGGGTTGAAAGGGAAGAAGTGAACCTCCCTGATACCAGCTCTCGCCTAAACAATTTATACACAACCATTCAAAACCATTTTTCGCCACACACATAAAAAAAATATATATATATATAAATAAGTGAGTATATTTTACACACACACACCTCCTTTGGATCAGCAAGCGTCCCAACAATAGCTGCATCGATCGCATCTTGATTCTCGGTTCTCGAGGCCCGAGCAGCCATAAGCAGCACTTGTTCCGGATCCATACCTTTCGCAAAAACCTCGATCAAACTCTTATCGACCGTCAGCTTGTTGAGCGTTAAAGTCCCCGTTTTATCACTACACAGCACATCCATCCCGGCCATCTCCTCAATAGCAGTCATCCTCTTCGTGATAGCCCCTTGCTGAGAAAGCCTGTGGGACCCGATAGCCATAGTCACCGAGAGCACTGTCGGCATAGCAATTGGGATTCCCCCGATTAACAGGACGAGCAAATTGTCGATTCCTTTACGGTACGGCCGGTGTTGGATCGGGTACATGACAATGATCTCGGCGAGCATGCCGACAGCAATCGAGCAGATGCAGAAGTTTCCGATGGCGGTTAGAACCTTCTGGAAGTGTCCGACTTGGTTTGTGCTGTCGACGAGGTGGGCCGCCTTGCCGAAGAATGTGTGGACTCCGGTGGCTATAACGACAGCCTCAATTTCGCCCTGCTTGCAGGTCGAGCCGGAGAAGACCTCGTCGTAAGTGTTTTTGGTGACGGGAAGCGACTCGCCGGTGAGAGCCGACTGGTCGACTTTGAGGGGGTCGCCTTCGAGGAGACGGGCATCGGCAGGGATGATGTCACCGAGCTTGATGCTGATGATGTCGCCTGGGACGAGGATGGCGGCTTCCTGTTCGCTCCACCTCCCGTCTCGAAGGACCTTTGTTTTGGGAGCAAGGCCAGCCATGAGGGCTGCAGCTGCATTTCCAGCATTGTTTTCTTCAATGAAACTGATAGTCGAGTTGATCACGAGCAAGCAAATGATACCCACAAAATCCTGCCAGTCGGGAGGCTTTCCACCACCGTTAGCCAGGACAATGGCCATTAAAGCGGCAGCCTCCATGACCCATGAGAGGGGATTCCACATGAAACCGAGAAACTTGAGAAGCTTGCTTTCCTGCATTTTTCGGCCCAAGAAAAACGAGCATCGTGGAAAAAAATTGTTAGGTAAAGTATATTTATTATGAAGGTTGGTTGTTATTTTTTTTTTTTTTGGGCAATACCTTTTTCTCTTCCAGCTTGTTGGGACCGAAAATCTGAAGCCGGTTGGCCCCCTCGTCGGAACTCAGACCCTCTCGGGTGCATTTCAACTGCTCGAAAACTTCCTCGATCGGGACTTTTTCCTTTATTATATATATTTCAGGAGGAAAAAAAGTTAGTTTCGGTTTCAGAAAAAAACAGTGAATGAAGAAGAAGCACTTCTGTTAGCCCATAAGCATTAGCAGAGCATTGAGCTGATGGAATATGTATTTTGTTATCCAAGAAAACAATTAACTAATGATATCAAATAATAGTTTATGTGAAACAAAACAACATAGGATTTGTAGTTGTCTTCTCTTATATGGCTTTTCATAAATACCACAAAATAATATCTAGATCAACTATTTATAATTATCCCAATGAGTTCGATGAATTTTAATTATGTTACTTCTATTTAATCCAATCATTACATAAATCATTTCCTTTAGTTCCTTTCTATTATTTCATGTAAGTTTCTATTCTTTCATGAAATTAAAATCATATATAATAGATAGATAAAGAGATGTTGACACGTGGCTGAAGGGTAGATGAGTAATTTTGAAGTTTCACTCTTTACCTGATTCAGAAACTTCAAAGGTAATAAACACATCACAATGGATAACTAGAGTATTTACTATTTTACCAACCACCTAACCCCCCCCCCCAAAAAAAAGTCAAATTTCTATGCACAAAATAAGTCCAAGTCAAATTTCCAAAAAGATACTCCCTCCTATTTTTTTTTTTACTACTTCTCATGGCATTTTTCAAAAATGTTTGACTAGTAAGTAGTTCAAAAGTACATAAAAACTAAATCACTTCTTTTACTACAGTCCCGTTACGGAATCATTCCGTCGGATTTCGAACCGTTATATCATCATGTACTATTGTGGATAGTTAATCTAACAGTTACAAAACTCAACGTAATGGTTCCGTAACGGGACCGTAAAATTTCTCGCCAATCATATATCCAAGTCAAAAGTCGTTAAAGAAGAAAACAAAGTCAAAAAAATATCACCTAAAATCATAAAGAGTCATTACACAAATCACATACTTATTATTATCGTAATTACTGTTCTTAAATGTAATAAGATTTCTCTAATATAATCTCGTTATAATATGTACAGAATTAAATCTTTTAATTGTGAAAAAAACGGTGATTTTATCAGTCAAACAAGTGGACCAAAATTATATAAACACACACAATCCTAAAGTTGACTTTCAGAATCCAAGTGGCTGGGGCCCACCAATAACGTTTGCTAAAATCCGCAAAGAGTGGCGTCAGTTATCCCACCCCAACATCAGTGGCGCCACTTACGGTGGGACCCACGCGCCAATACATTAATTAACAAAAAAAATAAAGGCTAGGCTTGAGGGGTAACTTTGAAATATTCGAGGTGTCGTAAGGGTATCTGCGTAAATAACTAAAACTAAATATTTGGTGTCACGAGGACTCGGGGGGAAAAAAGGTACGTACAAAAGTTTTTTTTGGGTTCCCAAAATTGCAAATATCGAAACCATAGGGGGCAAAGTACCACGGAAAAAAAGTACCACCCGTAACGAATTTTTTCCCCCATAAATACCAAACCAGACAAAAATAATAATAATAATAATAATATTTATAAATTATTTATATTTTCCATACTTTACAAGACCAAAAAAAATTATACTAACCACCTATTTTTAATATATATCGTTTTATAAAGTTACACATTAATTAAGAATATTTTTTTGTCAATAATAACTTTATTTAATGAAGACATAGATGAATATTTTAAGAAAAAATGAAGAGTGAATATGAAAAGACGTAATGTATTTATTGAAAAAATATGTAGAAAATATCCAAAACGATATTTATTTGATAAATAGTTGATAAAACTAGAATGACATTTAAAAAAAATAAGAGGAACTAATAAATAAATAAAATAAAATAAAAATAATCTAAAATTCGGGATATGCTGAATTTGGACTATTTCATTGGTATCATCGAGGCCACTTTTGACAAATTTATGCAAAAATTACAACAATTTTTTTTTTCTATTTTCTATTTTCTTTTTCTTTTTTTTTTTTGGGTCCAAAAAAGAAATCAAGAAGAGGACAAAATCAAACGGGCATAATAACAGAAGTCAAATAACAGTTTTTAAAACCGGCCGATCCAAATTTTTTTCCACATGAGAATTACTCTACAGCTAATAAAAATTGACAATTTATTTATTTTTTCCTCTTTTTTTTTTTATATTATATGTAAGCCATTAATAATATAGGTTGGGCAAAATCTGTACAACTGTGCCATGTGAGTTAGATCTT